AACAAGTGATTTGTCTTTGTCTTATTTTTCGGCTTTTTATTAATTTTATGCACTACTCATGTGGCTGATACCACTGTTCGTCATCGTGCAAAAGTTCGCTCACTCAGGGTTTTTAGGCCCGGAAAGCTCACAACAAGATGACTATGACCAACTCACTCAGTAGTCGCTATTTTACTAGAAAGCTCATACAAAAACAATTAGGACAAATCACTATGCAAGTACCTTTTTGGAGAAATTACCCTGTAACCAGGTAAGCTATAAAGCACTGCCTAGTCCAAATTAGAGATCTGACCTCCTTAGCCAAGTTACTGCCGGAGGGGTCAATGCCAACCAAATCAGGATCCCGCTTCTATGCAGATTTTTTCAGTATTTATCTGAGGTCACAGGACTCCACCCAGGTAGATGCAAAGCGATTAGAACGTCACATATAGCACACATTTTCTAAGTGCAGGCAACACTTTTAGAAACTGCAAACATCACTCCTTCAGGCAAAAGCTCCTCTTCCACCCCCAGGTGCGAGGTTAACTGCCATTCAGCTTTGTCCAAAGAGCAGGAAGCTCGCGCCTGGTCCGTTTGCAGGCTTCCTGCACACAGCATAGCACATAATGTTACAAACCAATGTCAAACAAGGGTCAACTGTCAAAAGAACAGAAAGCTCTTATTTTTCCTGCACACAAACATAATAGTTACAAAAATTAATGCCAAACAACACAATCCTGGAAATTAAGTTGGAAGAATCAAAGAAATCTATGTAAAAGAAACAAGTCAGGTTAAATCAAAACAAAACAAGTAACTTATGCTAATATAGATCACAAAAATGCCTCTATCATCTAAATCAATCATTCTTAATCTCTAATGCTCGAACAGCTATTCGTTTAATGAAATAAAGCATTATGAATATCTTCATCTGAATGTCAGGAGTCCCTCAATGGATTCTATGCCAAAACCTTCATCTTTTTACCCAACCCGGGTGAGCTCTCCTGTGGCCAAGGGGGGGTACACGACAACATGTAAATAACCATCCTTAGGGCGTCCGCTTCTTGACTCACACGAAATGTACAAAAACTCACGTAGTCTGTAGTTCGTTTGATTTCTTTTATTTGCAGATTTTCAGCGTTTGCGTATGCAGTTCAGTTCAGTTCAGTGTGGTGTGGTGTGGTACCGTGTCGGTCGCCCTCCACAATCCCATAGTCCCCACACACCTGTCTCCCTATTTGACCTGATTATTTGACCTTATTTCCCTAGGACACACCCTCTTACACTATAAACCAAAAGACAAATTGACTGAAAAAACTTAAATTGGGACTGAAAATAAATCATTTTAACATTTCTATAATGTAAAGAATAATATTTTAATAATTGTTTTAAGGTATAATAAAAATATGAATTTATGGTAAAACATAAAATAACTTTTTAATAAATTAAATTATGGCTCTAACATCTCCAGCCCCTAATTGCTGGTCTAGCAATTACAGAATTATTAATAAATAATAAGTAATAATTTTACATTCTATTTCAAATTTTTCACATTTTATTAAATATTTTTAATATCTGGATGAGGGGGGTAGTCAAGTAAGGTCTGGTCAGTCAAGTTTGGTTTTGAGGCAGTTCAAATGTCCATCCATTTAATCTTCATTTTCTAATATTAAGTAGAGTTTGGTGACAGGTCGTTGGAGGATACCAGTCTTAGTTTTAATGAGGGCACTTCGTACCAATCCTTTACTTCCAGGTTGTGTTTGCAGGACTCTTCCTAGGATCCATGAGTTCCTGGGAGCGGTGTGATCAGCAATGACAACAACATCACCTGGTTGTAAATTTCTTTTCACTTTGTTCCATTTGACTCTTTGTTGCATGATTGGGAGATATTCTCTAATCCATCTTTTCCAAAAGAGATCTGCCAAATATTGGACTTGCCTCCATCTTCTCCTGGAGTAAATGTCTTCTTTAGTGAATAGTCCTGGGGGCATTACAGGTTTTGATGTAAGCAGGAGGCGATGGTTTGGTGTGAGCGGTTCCACATCATTTTTATCATTTGTAACTGTTGTGATGGGCCTGTCATTCATTATTGCTTCCACTTCACAGAGCATCGTTTGCAGAGCCTCATCATCTATAACTTGTTCCTTAGTAATAGAGCACAATATCCTTTTCAGAGTGCGGATAAGTCTCTCCCATACTCCACCACGATGAGCTCCTGCTGCAGGATTGAATGTCCAGTCTGTGCCTTTATTCAGGAGTGTTTCACTGATTTTGTCATGATTTAATTCTTCCAGTGATCTTTAAGTTCTTTATCTGCTCCAACCAAGTTTGTGCCTTGATCCGATCTGATGCTCAACACTGTTCCTCTGCGACATATGAATCTTCTGATGGCATTTATGCATGAGCTGGTGTCTAGACTATTGGCTACTTCCAAATGAACTGCTCGAGTCTTTAAACGGGTAAAGATCACGCCCCATCTCTTTACAGTAGTTCGGCCGCGTTTGGTTTCAAATGGTCCGAAATAGTCCATGTTTACTGTGCTGAACGGTGGCATGTCTGGCAGCACTCTGTCTTGAGGAAGATCTGCCATCTTCTGCTCTCCAGCCACAGAGTGCATTCACCGGCAATAAATGCAGTTTTTTATGATGTTTCGTGCGGCAGCATTAGCAGAAGACATCCAGTACTTTTGATGGAATTTTGACAGCATGTGGCTTCGGCCAGTGTGACCAATTTTCTCATGAATGTTTCTGAGTATCAGTTTAGAGATGTGGGACTTTTTGGGCACAATAATGGGATTTTTGATCTCTGTGGGCATGGATAGTTTGTTAATTCTGCCACCAACTCTTAATAGGCCATCTTGATCCAGCTTGGGGTCCATTTTGTAGAGTGGACTGTTCTTTTGGCAGTACTTTCCCTGATTTATGAGGTCAATTTCTTGTTTATAGTATTGTCTTTGTTCATAGGCAAGAATACATTGTTCAGCATTTTTTATATCTTTCACTGTCAACTTCTCATTTTCACACAGTTTTTCATCTTTCTTTACTTTTGTCTTTCTCAGCAGCAGTCCCTTGAGCTTCAGCATCCATGCAACACTTCTTTTTAGTTTATTCCAATCTGAAAAATACTCCATTAGTTTGCTGGTGGGACTCTTTTGTACAATGTTGACAGTGTTCACAAAAACATCTTTCTTAACTTCAGGGTCCTCATTTGATACAGCATATCGCATTGCCTCTGGAATTGGTGGCCATTGTGTTTCATCATATGCCAAGAAATCAGGTCCATTAATCCATCTTTTAGATTTCAAGAAGGCCTCAATGTTCACACCACGAGAGGCGTCATCTGCAGGATTGTGCCTAGAATCAACATGTCTCCATTGGTCCATTGAAGACAGTGCTTGGATTACTGCAACTCGATTTGCAACAAAGGTTTGAAATCTTCGTGACTTCGAATGTATTTCAATACAGACTGACTGTCCAATAAACAGATTCCTGTAAATCCATTTTCAGCTCTGATTTCAACATGCGATCAACACGAACAGCAAGAGTGTCAGCAGTGAGCTCCAGTCTGGGGATAGTCATTTTCTTTAGGGGTGTTACTCTTGATTTGCCCATTATTAAAACCACGTGGACGTGTCCTGAGCTGTTTGTTAGTCTCAGGTAGCTGGCTGTGCCGTACCCCTGCTCGTTTGCATCAGAGAAGTGATGCAACTGAGCTGTTGTTGTTTTACCAAAGTTGGTTTTAGACATCTGTTTATTTGAAAATGTTTTAGTTGTTCCAATTCAGATAACCACTTTTCATAACACTGACACAATTCACTGGGAATAATTGTATCCCAGCCGCACTTAATTTGACAGAGATTTTGCAGGATAAGTTTTGCTTTTAGCACAAATGGAGCTACCAGGCCCAAGGGGTCATAGACAGAACTTACAGTGGACAGAACAGCTCTTCTGGTAAGTGACTTAGTTTTGACTGAAATCTGGAATCCAAATGTATCATTTTCTATATTCCATGTCACGCCTAGAGCTCTTTCAACAGGTAGTTTCTCTGTCTAAATCAAGTTCTTTTATTTTTGTTTTGCCTTGTTTTCTTCTGAAATAGTAGATAAAACAGCACGATTTTTACTGACCCATTTAATGAGTTTGAAACCTCCTTTTGCACACAGTTTACTCAGCTCTTTGTCTAGCTGAATAGCTGTTTTTACTGTGGGAACAGATTGGAGACAGTTATCTACATAGAAGTTTGATTTTAGAGAGGGTCTGGCTGCAGACACATGGGGAAAGTGGAGCTCCACTCCAGACCGGAAACACGTGACCTCCACCAGAAACACGTCATATCTACGATAGACTTTTATTTTTATTTTTTTTTATTCGTATTAGCCATATTAGCCGTGTCCCAGTTCCAGGGCGGCAGCTTTCGAAGGCTGTGAAGGCTGCGGCCGTCACTGTAGCTGAAATGTGACAGGTGTAGCCCACGGAGCCGCCCCGTCGCCTAGCAACCGAGACACTTTGCTAATGCTAATGCTAACAACACGTACCACACAGATGATGCACGGGTAATCAAACTTGGAATTTTAGACCAAGTTATTCTAATAATTCTCATCCAAATCTTATGGCTAAAAACGATAACTTATGTTTAACTTTTGCAAAACAAAACGGTGATATTTCTGGGATACATCTAAAATAGACTAAATTGCCTTAAAGTTTCAAAAACTGATGAGATTATTAATTATTAATAAAGTATTTTTAAATTGATAAAGGATTACATTTCTACCGGGGATGTATTTAAGTCAGTTTATAAAGACAGACGTCTCTGCTTTGAGAAAAGATGGTTTATTAAACAATCAAAGGATTATAAATACTGTAAATACTTTATCATAATGTGACTAGTCAAACATTAAACCCATTACACAAACACAAACACACTCTGCATTAATAGGTGAGTACAAACAGCTGTATGTCAGTGTACTCTCAAAGAGTTGTTCCCATTCTGCTGAAGCAGAAAAAAAAATCCAAAATATGATCAGGTGGAATACCACTGCTTAACTGCAGTACAATAGTACATTCTTATAGTACATGTAATTAGTTACTTTCAAAAGAGACAGAAAGTAAATGGCACATTTCATCATGACTCAAACATCAGTACAGACTGAAAAACATTCAGAAAAACTTATTATGAGCAACTTATGACTCTAGTTTTGTCTCATACACTTGTTAAGATCATATAAGGACACATTTATCATGGGACACTTCCTCAGTGATAAAGATGTTTAGGTGCTCCTCAGCTAAGACGAACAGAAACCACCATTTTACTGTTTCACTTCTGGAGGAAATTAGACGTTAAACCTAATCTTTATGGACACATCACTATTAGGACACATTAGGAACAGCAGCAGACAGAATGTGCAGGAGGAAGGCCTGATGCAACCAGAGGCCCCACAGGTCTGCTGCAGTCTGGACCTGCTCCTCCTCCTCCTCTGTGAGTCTGGACATGGACAGTGGAGACATGACCCAGTGGACTAGGCCACTCAGTCTGATGTGTCTCTCGTCTTCTGGAGGAGGAAGAGCAGAATGGGCCTTAAGTCTGACTGGTTGAAATTTCTGTCTGCAGAGTGAAAACCTGTAATGACACACACATTAAGAAAACTATTACATAAATCCAAACAGCTAAATCTCACATTTGAGAAATGTGTATTTTCAGAAAATTAAATAATGATTTCAACATGAGCCTGATTCATTTGCAGCTCTTATTATTATTGGAGTTTTCAATGTAACATGTCCCAGACCTAAACAGAGGCAGGAAGTCTGGGTCAGCACTTCCTGCTCAGTGTTGACTTTTCTTTGTCATCTGCATTTGACCCATTTTATGAATCATGAGCGTCTCATCAGCCAACATTTCTGTGGCCCCAGCAGTGTGTTGTGTTCTCATACAGGAAGCTGCAGACGAGAAAAGAACATGAATATCAAACAGTTGACTCACTGTTCTGATATTAGATGTGACAGGCCAAACAGACACAGGTGTGTCTAGTATCTACAACAGTGTCTGCAAAATCTGTTCAATGAGCCTCATGTCCACCTTATATCTGACCTGTCCAGGCAGGATTCTTTACTCTTCACTTTACAAACATGCACGGATTATTAAAAGCAGATCACGTGTTCCCAGAATGAAATGCACACGTTGGAGGTTTATGTTACGTGAATATAAGTAAATATAAGCTTTGACATGTTTAATGTTTTATACATTAAACATAAAAAAACTGTGTCTTTTATGTTTAATGCATGAAATAATGCATGTTTTTATCTTACCGCACTTACACTTATACTGGCCAAGTGTTTACAAGTTTAACCCAGTCACTGTGCGTGAAAATGCGGCGTTTTCTCCTCGTAGTTTCTTTAAATCTCTCTGTGAGCTTCTTTACCCCTAACAGTAAAAACATGATTAGTGTTTGATGGAAATCTGTCCAAATATGAAAGTTTGAGCTGACTTTTCATCGTGTTAGCTGCAGATTACTAATCAAACTTTTAGCTCAAATCTCCGAGGTTCATGCAGTTAAAAATAAACGTATTTGACAGTTTTGTGGGAGTTATGGCTGTATTTTACATTTACAGTTGTGTTAGTAAGGATTTCCTAAAGTTAAAAGCGTGTTACTCGCATGTTTTCTCCGCCTTCCAAATGGTCATTTTGCTCTGTGTTTATGTCAAATCAAATCAAATCAAATCAAACTTTATTTATAAAGCACTTTTCATACAAAATGCAACTCAAAGTGCTTTACAGTGATTAAAAACAGTCCCGCATTTCCAACCACCCACCCACCAACCCAACCCCACATAGTCAAACAACTCAAACACACACACTCACATACACACAAACATGCACACGAACATGCACACACACACACACACACACACACACACACACACTCACACACACACACACGCTAAAATACATAACCGGACACAATAAAATGTGAGGCTGAATACAGGCGAACCAGTTGAGAACGCACCATCAGAGGAGCCGTCTGCACCGGGAGCAGAGAGACGTCCACCACCACCAGGAACCACCACAGGAGCCAGGGGAGAGATGAAGCCCAGGCACCTGAGGCCCAAGCACCATCCCTCCGCCCACATGACAGACCCAGCAGCCACAGCTGACCTCCACTCCCGATGCAGAGGCTCCTACAGAGGAGACACTGGAAATCCTAAAAAATATGCCTAAAATAAATAAATATAATAAAATGTGTACAATAAAAACAAGTAAAAGTATAAGATTTCAATCAAAAGCTAAGCTAAAAAGGTGGGTCTTGAGCCTGCTCTTAAAAACATGAACGTTCTCTGCAGCCCTGAGCTCCTCCGGCTGCAGGTCCATAGACGAGGGCCATAGTGCTGAAAAGACGCCTCTCCGTGAGTGTGTGTCCTGACTTTGGGAATGACCAGGAACCTGCTGCCAGAGGAGCGCAGGGTCCGCGAGGGTTCATAAGGTAAAAGCAGTTCTGAAAGATAAGAAGGCCCAAGACCATTAAGACATTTAAAAACCAGTAAAAGAACTTTAAAATCGATCCTGAAACTCACAGGGAGCCAATGCAGTGATTTTAAAACCGGTGTAATGTGGTCCCGCCCTCTGGTCCTCGTCAGGACACGCGCTGCTGAATTTTGTAATAATTGCAAACCTGAAATACTCTTTTTGGGAAGACCAGAGAGCAGGGCATTACAGTCGTCTATTCGACTGGTGATAAAAGCATCAGCGTCTCGGTGTTGGCCAGAGAGAGAATGGGGCGGACTCTGGCTATGTTTTTTAGGTGATAAAAAACAATTTTTGTGATGTTCTTAATGTGTGGGATAAAAGTCAGCTCAGAGTCAAAAATGACGCCCAGGTTTTTCACTTGAGGAGAAGGGTTAAAGGACTGTGTTTGTAGTTTGGGTAAAAGTTTCTCTCTCTGGGCCTCAGGACCAATGACTAAAACCTCAGTTTTGTCCTGGTTAAGCTGGAGGAAGTTTTCTGCCATCCAGGATTTGATTTCTAGAATGCAGTTAAAAAGGGCATCCATTGGTCTGGTGTCATCAGGAGACATGGAGATGTAAAGCTGCGTATCATCTGCAGAGCTGTGGAAGTTGATTCCATGTCTCCTGATGACACCACCAAGAGGAGCATGTACAAGTTAAAAAGCACAGGGCCTAAAATGGAGCCCTGGGGCACACCACATGTGATTTTATGGACCCTGGAGGAGCATGTGTCTACACTCACCATAAATGTTCTGTCTGTGAGGTAGGATGTGAACCATCTGTGAACAGCACCGGAGAGCACCAACACGGTTACCTTTTGTGAATCATAATTTAATCTAAAATCATTTAAAATCTTTGCCAGGGCGGTCTCGGTGCTGTGATTCACCCTAAAACCAGACTGAAATTTTTCCAAGATGTTGTGATCGTCTAAGAAATGATTTAGTTGGATAAAAACAAGTTTTTCTAAAATTTTGCTTAAAAATGGTCGGTTAGACACTGGTCGGTAGTTGTTAAAATCATTAAAATCTAAATTGCTCTTCTTCAGCAGGGGCCTCACCACTGCAGTTTTGAAGGCAGAGGGAAAGACCCCCGTCTGAAGAGAGCAATTCATCATGGTTAAAATCTCATCCCTAAAAGATCCATAAAATGACTTAAAAAATGGGGTAGGAATCGGATCTAAAAGACATGTGGTGGGCCTCACTGAGGAGAAAACTTTGTCAAGCATCTCAGCATTAACCAGGACAAAACTGTCCAGTGTTTCCTCTGGTCCAGACAAACACTCAGATGTACTAAAAACAGAGCTTTGACAAGATAAAATATCAGATCTGATAGTGTTTATCTTACCCATGAAGTGGTCTGCAAACTGCTCACAGAGAGAGTCAGTGGGTGTTAAGTAAAACGTGCTAAAATCAGGATTTAAAATGTTGTTAATGGTTGAGAAGAGGACCTTAGGATTATTCTTGTGATTGATGATTATTGTGGAAAAGTAATGGTTTCTTGCGTTTCTTATTGCGTTGTTGTAAGTTCGTTGTTGATCACTGAATAATTGGTAGTTTATTGTAGTTTTGTTTTTCCTCCATCTCCGTTCTGCCCTCCTGCACTCTCTCTTGAATTCTGTCAACTCTTCAGTTCTCCATGGAGGTTTTATTTTGGTTATGCTTTTAGTTTTGAGTGGAGCAACCAGATCCAGAGCTGACCGTAGTTTACTGTTAAAATAGTCGGTGATAAAATCGCAAGGGGCAGGTAAAACCATTGAGGGATTTTTATCTAAAACTTCGATAAAATTTGCAGCCACTTCAGGGGTCAGACGGCGCTTCCTCACAGTTCTCACAGAGGTCTCCCGCTGTATAAAACCAGTGATGTTAAAAAACACGCAGTAGTGGTCAGACACAGCCAAGTCAACAACAGAGGACACACTAGTGGTCAGGCCATAGGTGATGACCAGATCCAGAGTGTGTCCTCTGTTGTGAGTTGGCTGTGTGATGTGTTGAGTAAAATCCATATAATTAAGAACATTTAAAAATTCATTTGCAACAGGATCTAAAAGATTATCTATGTGCAAGTTAAAATCACCGGTTATAATAATCATATTAAAAGAATTGTGTAAAATAGATAAAAACTCAGAAAACTCATTGATAAAACTACTGCATTTCTTTGGTGGTCTGTAAACCGTGACACATAAAATCTGAGGGTTGCTAAAAACAATTGAGTGATGTTCAAAACTTGTAAAATTGTTCAATAAAATAGGTTTGGTGGCCAAAGTGTTTGTGCATATAGAAGCAGTGCCACCTCCCCTTTTACCGTTCCTGGTTGAAAAAGCAAAGTTAAAAGTGGGTGGTGAGGCCTGTGAGAACAACTGGTGCATCTGTACCCAGCCATGTTTCTGTTAAAAAGAAGCAGTCAAGTTCTAAAATCAGGTCATTTACAATAAAAGACTTGTTCAGCAGAGAGCGGACATTTAAAAGGGCCATGTTTAAGGTTATTGGGGACTGAGAAACTACAGGAATTTGTGGTAGATGTGCTTTTTGAAGGGATCTGAGATTATTGATGTTGGCAGTAGTTTTATGAGAAGATTTATGCTGATGCTGCTCTCTGCTGATAATAACGGGAATGAACTGTCCTTGATTATATTGTCATGCTTCTGCTAGTGTGAGTTCGATATTACATGAGAGGAGACGGGATCCGGGGATGTAGTCGGTCCTTTTTAAAAAGTTCAGGTCTCTTAAAAATGTGATAAAATTGTCCACGTAGGGGATTTTATTGTCTCTGCAGTATCTTTTGAGCCATATGTGCAGTGCTCTCAGGCGGCTGAACTTCTCATCTCCAAGACGAGGTGGTACAAAGGGTCCAGAGATGACACACTGTTTGTCTAAACTGTGGATTGTGGTGATGAGAATTTTGAAGTTGTCCTTAAGTAATTCTGACTGCTGCAATTTGAGATCATTAGTTCCGACATGAATAACTACCGTTGATACTGTGGGGTGATGACGTATGATGGTGGGGGCGGAGTCTGTGATGTCCTTCACGAGAGCACCTGGGTGACAGGAAGTGTGGCCTTTTTTAATTCTCACGTGCTGGACCATGGAGGAGCTGAGAACCAGCATGGACGGGTCTGGCCTGGACGTCGGGGTGAGGGCACCGCAGAGATGTGAGCCGAGCTCTGCAAGGCAGCACGGTCTGGAGCGAGACCATCTCCTCGCTCACGTCGAGCGCTCGGGCTCGACATGCGCGAGGAGGGAACGGAGGCCCCTCTTGCACTACATTGAGAACTTTGATCTTTTTTGGAAACGGAAGGACCTGTTTGAGGGAAATGGCCCACACCTAAGCAGAGGTGGAGTGAGAGTGTTGACGGAAAACCTCTTCCACGCTTTGAGGCACCGGGCTGGACAGGGTCCTGTGCATCCAGTGAGAGAAAAGAGAAATGGGAGAAGCATCCCTACTGCACCAAACAGAGAACCAGCCAATGAGTCAGCACCATTGACAGCACCACCACTGCCACAACCACAACCACTTCCCCCTTCCCCAGACAACAACTCAGCAGCATCACCACCTCCCGCTCCCCCAGAGAACAAGTCAGCAGAACCACCTCCCCCCCAGAGAACAAGTTAGCAGAACCACCTCCCCCTCCCCCAGAGAACAAGTCAGCATCACCACCTTCCCCTCCCCAGAGAACAAGTCAGCAGAACCACCTCCCCCTCCCCAGAGAACAAGTCAGCAGAACCACCTCCCCCTCCCCCAGAGAACAAGTCAGCATCACCACCTTCCCCTCCCCCAGAGAATAAGTCAGCAGCACCACCTCCCCCAGAGAATAAGTCAGCAACACCACCACCACCTCCCCCAGCGCCACTAGCACACCCATCACCTCCGCTGCCCACAGACCAGCCTGGAGTCCCCATTGCTACATCTACTCCATCAACGGA